TGGCACAGCAACGATTGATTGTTCTTGTTCGATCTTTCCGAAGTTTCAGTAGCGGTTCTACTGTATCCAGAGTGGTGAAGTAGATCCATTTAATTTCTCCGGAGTGGATGTAGATTTTGCGATGGTCCGTGGCATGTTCCGTTTGCTTCTCGTTAGACTCACAGGGTTGCGATTAGTTGGCTCTTGACTTACATGGGAGGTATCTGTACCTATTTTTTTGCCAACACGATTCATTGGGTTTCACTGTCCTTTAAATAAAAGAAACATACAGAATCTTAAATTCGATCTTCAGTGAAGCTTATTTGGCAGAAGTTTTCTTTCCCACGATTCGATAAATTGATGTTTAGGTCATTCCCGTTGGATTTCAGAGAAAAACCGTCGGTCTAGAAACTATAAAGATTTTCATGATTTTATTCGCATAGGTGGCTCAGAGCTCATTTCCTTGTGGATTAGCAGGTCTTGAACTGCAGAAATCTGTTCATGTTCACGAACTGTAGCTGCTTCTCGTCTGATGGAACTTGACACGATGTTTGGTAGCGCTCTCAGCCAAAGCGCCGGTGTTTTTGAAGGTCCGACTAACCATGGGCAGTACATCATTTGTTTCCGTATTCACAGGATGGAAATGACAACTGATGTATCACTTATTTGCGCAGTGTTTCTCAGTTGATGACATTACTGCTATTGTGTCGACGTTCGGAACATATGGGCATCACATCCCTCGATATACCAGGAAGCTTTTGAATGATGTTGACCATGTACCTTGTTTTATTTTTCGTTTGATCCTGATGCTGCAGATGGCTCAACGTGACTCCTATATATTTTTTGAAAAAACCACATCGCTACGCTTCTAGCTGATCCTAGCTTTGGATTTGTTGTTTGTCAAATGGAACGTTAATACGACTGATTTAGATGCATTGGGTTTTAATTCTCAGCTTGTCTGCATGGATGAATTTGTTGGATGATGCAGTAGCTAGGTCGCTGATGTAATGGTGCAAACAACCAGAGATAATACCAAGCCCTGAAGAAGACCGCTTTTTTCTCATTGTCCATCTAGCTGATTCATGAAGTTTAACGAAAAATTTCTGATTACTTAACATCTCACTGATGTTCGACTCTCTTTGACGTGTCAAGGATTGCGACAGTTTCGCTTTCGCCATATAGTGACTTGTGCAGAGGATAGATCAATGAAAGCTACCACGGTTTTTGATTTTCGTTGGTAACCGGCCTTTGTGTAGCCTGTTAACGGCTAGAACTGTCACAGCAGTTTCTTCAGGCAATGAAGTCACACTGTTGCTTGGGGATGAGGCATTCCTTCAGAGAATGAAGAACCAGTAGTTTCGTCAGTTTATGGTAGCATCAATCGGCAGAAGCTTGCCGATAGCAGTTAGCGCCAGTGGTGGCCTTTACGTGTTTCACGATGAAGATGATTAGTTTTCGCCCATTGGTTAGATATTTTCCCGGAGGTGTTTATGTTTTTGCTGAGATCTGCCAAGCACTTTTTATCCGTCGACCCTGGTTTTTTAATAACTCCTTGAATATACCATTATGTACTGCACAATTTATATTGATATCTTCAACGACTTTTCAACTTCTTCAGCTGCGTATAAGATGGAGACAGACGGATGGTTAACAGTCGCTCAAAGCATCATGCAGTTGCTTCAGGATCATTTGCCTGATGCTTTTATCTGTGGATATATGGAAGTTGTCAAACAGCTCTGCAACGCTCGTATACGAATTGCCTGAGGTTGCAGTACCAAATGCCACAGGAGATGCCGGGCTTATCGACTTGATTTTGTAAAGTTGGGTGACGTCGTTTTGAGCTGTCTGTTCTTTTTGATTCATGAATGATTGCAGCAGCGCTCTCTGTATCTGGTAGCTGTTTGTTTTATAGTACACCTTTCCTGAATAGTACAGCTTCGCATTCCGAGGACCGGCATGAGTAGATGTGTTTTCTGAGACTTGTCACAACGGTCAAAGTGAATTGGTAATGAAGTGATTAATATCAGCGAACCTTCTGTAGTCATTGC